TAAGGCTACTGACCACCTGCAGTAGAGAAAAACAATTCATTTTCTCCCAGGTCACAGAGCGTGGATTCGCCATGAGGAAAATACAACTTATATTTTAGATCAGAGGTAATGTATTATCATAATTTTTTTTTGAAGGAAATCTGTACCAGCTGCTTCAGAATGGAACACCACACCCAGTCTACCCCAGATACTTCTTGCTCAGAGCAAGTCTTAAATTCTAACTCAGCCATTCTCTTGGCCAAAGAATATTGCAAAAAGCTGGACACTTCATCAGGTCACCTCATTTTTTGGAGCCCCACTTCTCTCAGCAAGTTACTTCCAGATGCTGCTCTTCTTGGCTGAAGCACACACTTCTTTTATCCCTTGGGCAAGCACAGCTGAGAGCAGGTAAGCTCAAGAGCCAAAGCTGTGGCTGAACATATTACCCCCTGCAAGCAGGCCTGAGCTCCAGATCTGGTATTTTGATTAGTCATTTCCTAATTACAGAATTCTTTAGTGAAATTTGAGACATTCTAAGAGCTACCACTAAACAAAAGACACATATTGAGATTAATTTTACAATTAGATCTATCATTAGAGGCTACTCTCCATGGTACATTAAATTGGACAGAATTTTGCTATTCTTCTGAAACATGTGCATGACTTTACCCCTCTTGATAGGCCTTTTTTTAAAAAAAGGTAGCCTCCACTGGAATCAGGCAGGCATCCAGACGTTTTTGGTTGGACTTTTTGGTGGGTTTTTCTAACAAATGCGTTTTCCATAAGTGAAAACAAATGCTAGCTTGATGGACAACAGTTATGTACCTATACTGTTATGTTCAAAACAAAATGAAAAAACACAGTGCTTTGTAAAAGACTTAAATACTTTAGGTTATGAATAGGTTAGCATAGAAATAGGCTGTGCCTGAGCTGGCCAGTTCTCTTTGGTTAATTACCTTTCTAGGATAGCCACTCTTGAGATCTACTTAATAAGAAATTACGCTCCTATTTTCCAAGTACATCTCACAATGATAACCATATCCACCTCAGTTTCAGACAAAACTAACACAGCAAACCCCCCCCTGCAAAATCTGTCTAGAACCTAAGAGCAGAATACAGCACCCCACCTGAAAACCAAAATACTGCAAGTACACAAAACATATAATTTGCAACCTGCAGTTTCCCATGGGGAAATTTGCAAGGAAAGTTTAAGATCTGGGTGTTGATCTTCAAAGCCTTAGTTAACTAAGGCTGATCAGTCTAACAAATTAATTGTTTTCCCTATGGGAAATTCCCACAACTTTATTTTTCAGGTATGTAAAATTTTCAGGTATATATGTGCTTGTTTTGTTATAGCATAGTCATTGTCTCTAAAATATCGTTTGTGTCAGCCAGAAATACTGCAGCCTAAATCTTCTGAATTTGATAGCAAATTTGGCAAAATGTTGGCAAAATGGTAAAAAATTGCAGGACATGAGATACAACTTCTTTGGCTGTTTCTTTATCCAACTGCTACTGACTCTCCTGTTTATAGCACTGGAATTTTCTTTTAAACATTGCATTTTTAAAACATTCAATGAAGGCCTAATTCTTTTTCTACCACTAGTCTGAATGCTTCTCTTCACAGACAAGCCTAGCAGGCTACATTAATGCAGTTATTCTTTCATGTTCCAGTTACATTATGCTTCTGCTGTGTGAACAAAGAAGAATTCTGACAAACTTTCTCAGCCTGAGCAATCAAAGGTCAAAAACAACCCTATTTTTCAGCGTGTAAAAGGAAAAGGTTTAGGAGCTTAACATGATTAAGTTTCCTACAGTTGTATGTCAGTTCAATTTGCATTTAAATCTTAGGAACACTATGCCCGCAAATAGCTTGTGCAAACTGAGATTTTTAAATCCTTGTACTTCAACTGCTTTTTTCATAACAGATGGTCCATTTAGTTATTTTGAATAACTCTACTAATAAATATCAACAGCTTCCTTCAATGCTTTCATAGCTCATTGTTTAATTGCCTATGTCAGTTAGAGAGAAACTACAAGCTTCCCTATGAAAATTAGGATTAAATTTTCTTAAATATCGTTAAACCAGCTGTAATGCTAAACTTTTTTCAACCATGCAAAATGTTCATGTTCTACTGCAAATTTTTTTATACCCTAGAATCAAAGAACTATTGGTAGAAAGAGTTCTTTGGAGGTCTCCACCCATCTTCCTGCTCTGAGAGATTGCTGCCAGCATATTGTCATCCATTACTCTCTGGAAAAGGATCCCACAGCCAGTGCAGGAAATGGGTTCTGCACTACCCATCCAGTGAAAAAGATTTTCCTAATTTCTGGTATGGAGTTCTGCTATTTTATTTCACTGGAGTGTATAATTTTTTTCAACTAGCAGTCATAATAAAGAAACGCAGATTTTGTGTACGGATTGACAACCAGATTAATTTTTAGCTGTATTTGGCTGCTCATCACTTTCTCAAATTCCCATCCCAACAATGACTTCAAACCATGGTACTCATTATGTTGTCCTTGAATTTCACATGATTGTGAAAGAGGACAGTGACTGCAAATCACTTAGCTGTATCAACAATCTGACTTTCCAGTATTTCAACAAGTGTTTAGAAGTTACCATTTTATATTAATGATCACTCTGTACCCACACCTGGCTTGCACTCTTATGTGCATAATCCATAACAGACCTTGCAGAAGCACAAAACAGAAATATTTTAATCAATCATAAAATCACATACTGCTACCAGATGTAAGGTGTGCCTTTGGAAACAACGTGATCAATCACAATGTAGAACAGAAAAAGATTAATTAACATTATCTTTTTGTTGAAATAGCCACACAAATACTTTATAAATAGTTTCAGACAAGCTGATGGGTCTGAAACAAAAGTCAGTGCCTGCAACTCTCAAACAATTATCTTCAGATATACCTTGCTTCATTGTTCCCATCCTTGAAAGTTTCACTAAACATTTGATGTCTTTCTTAGCTTCTTGGTCAATTCATGGTTCAATATGAAAACAAACATCTGTTTAAAACACAAGCAATAAAGTGTAAAAACCTATGACGACTGCATAACAGGCGTAAAACTGAAAACCTTCTATTTTTTCAAGTTTTAAAGGGACACACATCCCAACTTCAGAAGCACACATCATTTAAACCGGAACAAGCAGACCTTATTTCCAGAGTTGAGTGGAAGTGGAAATCTCTCACTCTAAAGGAAACCACACCACTGAAAGGCTAAAGAGTAAAGATACATGGAACTTCAAGGAGGGTGTATTAGTTATTCACTGTTCTTACTGCAATATTAATCCTAACAAGTATTTGAAGTCTTGGATATCTTACACAGAACATTGTTTCATCAGACCAAATCTGAAGAGATGAACTACAAACAGAAGGATGGCAATAATGAGCCGCAAATTTATTAAAGAGAATTGAAATCACAAGCTTAGCTGGAGGTCAATGTATGAAAATGTTAGCAACATCATTACAATTTTCATACAAGTATCTGAAGTTTTTGGCAAACTTGAAGTTACCTGACAGCAGTAACACACCAAGTGATAAAAGCTAGCAAGCTTTTTCTCCCTTAAAAACATAAATGGTAATGAAAAATTACACTATATAGTGAGTAATGGCTGTTAAGAATCTTTTGGATTTCAGTTAATACATGTCAGAAACTTCATGGTGTCATTTCCAAGCTATGCCCATGTACTCATAAGAAACAGCGATGATAAAACTGATGAAAACCAGGCTCTTGATAATGAATTTAGTGAAAATCTAAGTGTTTCTTTTCTAGCTCACTAATTTTGCCCTGTGAAATGCAAATATTAAATTTCTTCTAGAGAAGAAAAGCAGAATGACTTTTTTTTTTAAACAGTGATTATATTGACTAGTAAAAAAAATGCAATTTTAAATGAGAATGGTATTGCCAAAATTTCAAGGCAGCTTTTTTCATTATCTTTAATTTTGAGGGAAAATGTAAGTATAAGTGAGATGATGAAACACACTTTACTGCTGGAAGAGAAAACACTCTCAAGCATGGACTCAAGCACCAACAAAATTAATAGTTATGACATTAGTCTATTCATGTTTGCATGGCAAAGATACATTTGAGTGGCTAAATTCCTGGCCTGATATTTAGGACATTGCTTATGTTCTTCTGTGCCAATCTGAAAAACCAAAACCATTTTCAAGAGAAAATAATATTTTAACAACATCTTGAATTCTTTTTTATTTTTCATGGCAAGAATACCCTAAAAATGTCCCATGGGTCCAGTGCCACTATTACTCCTTACACAACTGAGTCTACTTCAACTTGTATGAGTAATTAAACACAGATTGAGCTAAAAGACAAAATGATTTATTAGATCACTGCTGGAAATACTGGGGATTAGGAAGACTCAAGCTTACGGACTGACTTGGGATGCAGTTACTGGATATCCTAACTTCAGCAGAAAAAAATGTCTTTAATATGAGCAGCAGATAGAGAGGCAGAGATAGAGAGACATGGAATTTCTTGTTTCTGCACCACTTGTGATATATTGCATTCAGCTATCCCCACAGTAGTTTTCATACTGCTCTTTCCTACCAAACAGAAAGGTGTCTCTGACCCTCTCTGTAGTAGAAGTGGCAGAACACAAAATTCTGTGTAGTAGAATTCTAGTAGTGCTAGAACCCCAAATACACAGTAAGAAATGCTGGGCAGTGGCAAAGAGATTTATTTCATGTATAAATTGAATATAGATAAGTGATAACAGAATTAGGGTAACATCTAGGCTGAGTGGAGGATTGCAAAGGAAACTAAGCCACTTAGTTTCAAAGATGCACTAAGGTGAAAAGACCCGAGGTTCCTCTGAGCTTAGGGAGAGTAAAAGAAGCAAGCAAGCAAACATAAACCCTGTGCTTTTTGAAACTCTGACACAGTGACTCTGACACGCTTTTACCAAAACACTTTTCTACTTCATTCTTTAAAGCAACCGTTTAGGGCTCGGGGGGTATTCACCCTCTTCCACACTTACGCAAGTGATCGTGTTTCGCTCCCCGGGAGCGTCAGCGGCCCCGCTCCTGGCTCCATTCCAGGCCCCGCTCTCTCCCCGTTCCGGGCTGCGCTCCTGCCCCGCTCCAGGCCCCACTCCCGCTCCTCTCCGGCTCCGCTCCTGCTCGCTCCCGCTCCAAGCCCCTCACCGACCCCGCTCTGGCCCCGCAGAGCGCAGGAGCCGCGTTCGCGGCGCCCTCTGGCGGCAGTGCGGGGGCAGGAGCGCGTCCGGCCAGCGCTGAGGGACCCGCCCGGCCCGCGCTGAGGGACCCGTCCGGCCCGCGCTGAGGGACCCGTCCGGCCAGTGCTGAGGGACCGGTCCGGCCCGCGCTGATGGACCCGTCCGGCCAACGCTGAGGGACCCGTCCGGCCAGTGCTGAGGGACCTGTCCAGCTCCACGCTGACGGACCTGTCCGGCCAGTGCTGAGGGACCTGTCCAGCTCCACGCTGACGGACCTGTCCGGCCCGCGCAGCCCCTCACAGCCGGCGCGGCCATGGGGATGCCGGGCACGGACGGACATGGCTGGAGTTCAAGCTTGGCCATGCTACTTTTCGCGTTAAGATTTGGCCACCGGCATAGCACCGCCGCTGAAAGCGTTTTTCGAAATGGCAAGACGTTACTAGACTGTCTGCTAGGGCAGATCTATGGCAGAGTTGGCACAAAAAAATAAAAAAACAAACCGGATGTTAAATATACACGTGCAAATTCACCAGTGAGTGGAAGAAACAAAATGAGATACTAATACTTCCTGTCCCAGTGTATATTTCAATCATCTAGAGAATGTTTTTCTAGTAAGAATGTCCACCCTCGCTCTCTCTCCTTCCTCCTGTCTCCCCAAATCATCCATTACAAAACAGGGAGTCTGCTTTTTTTGAATCAAGTCTCCCACTTTACTGCCTAAGAGCAGTCTAGTTTTATTTCACAGAGAGAAAAGTGCCAATTAAATCAACTAAATTGTATTAATATTTCCTTGGGAAACCATGCTTTATTCTTTACAATAGTTACTATTTAATATGTGGTCTTTTTTCTGTTAAGCATTGATTGACAGATGAACAGAACTGCATATACTTCTAAACTCTATGATTAAACACTACTGAACCTATTGATTCACCTAAGACTCCCATCCTGATGTTTTTGCTATCAGAAAACTTTACAGTTTTCATGACTTAGGACCATGGCCCTTGCCTCCAGAAAACATTTAGATATGAGATCACACAAACTCAAATTCCTCAATAGAAGAACATAGTCCTTCAGTTGCTTTGCAACAGAGAGTTAACACAGGATATATTTAACTCAGAAGCTGACCTTTGGTAGGGACCAGCATTATATATTCAAGAAAAATTCTAATAATATTCAGCAAATGTAAGGAACAGCCACCTAGGACTATAACAACAACTTATGGCAGCATAAAATCTTGAACCTTCACAAGTCAGAAGTTGCCAGTGGACTATTGTTTCTATGAGCCCCAACAGATCACCCCCTCACAAAGTTCTCCAAGCATTTCCATATTTCCATGCTTTCTGGTTTTTCCATCTCTCTGTGGCAATAAGTTCCATGAGGTCTCCTTTTTTAAAAAAAAAAAAAAAAAAAAAAAAAAAGCATCTCCTCATATAATACAAAACACTGAGTAACTGTTCTATTTCACCTAGACACTCAAAATGGTCTGAATATCCATCACAACAACTTATTCATAAGCCAGAATGAATTTTCCAGAAGGAAAACAGGGTCTTCCTTCTATTTAGTGCCTCCCCACATCTAAGTATTTCCATGTCTTTATTGGTCTGGTTGCCTGCTATTTTTCAATTCTAGTTATCTTTCTGAAGTTATACACTGATGTAGCAAGATTTTCCATTTTGTTCATTGTAGACTTCATGATGAGGGCTCTCATGGAGGCAGAATGCTGATTACAGCAAACCATCAGGTCCTTATTTTGGTGGCAACATTAGCTGAAAGTCCAGCATTGTATTGGATAGAGTTAGCATTGTTTCCCACTCTCCAGCATTTTTCTCATCTATTAGCACAGTCATTTTAACATTTTTATCAGTCACTGTCTCCACTATGAAACCTTTATGTGGTTCCCAGCTATTCATTTTAGCCAGCTAAATCTGGATTAGCAGAAATGTTATTATTTGACTATTTTCTGATTTCCCTGATCAAAAAACACTGTCTGTCTGTAAGACTCCATCAGCAGCCTTCACTCTGGAGCCTAGCCATTCATTCTTATTTTCCCTTCTGTCTTTTAACGAACACATAGTCTGTGACAAGCACGTCTGTAAGACTTCTTGGTGAAGACTCTTCTTAACAGCATGTTGAAAAGCCAAGTATGTTGTGTTACCCAGCATTTTCACAGTCTCCTTCAAAGAACTTTCTAATATATTTGTGAGGCATTGCTTCCCCTTGTAAAATGGAAATAAAACATTTAATCTCTTCTTTATTGTATCATTAACTCCTATTGGAATGACTATTTCCTATTTCATTAAAATCTATTCTTTGCTAGAATTTCTGCCAAAGAACTTCCTTCTGCTTCAAGGACTTCTTAAATAATTGATGTCACATGGTCCAAATTTCATTCCCCTCCAGTTACTAACCCAGCAACATCTTACTTGTGTTAAAGTCCTGACTAAATAGCATATGGTCACAATATTTATCATTTCTCTTATTAAGGTCCTTGATTGAAGTGTGGTCCACCAGTAAAGCAAATCCACACTAGGGATACTAGCGTCAGACCAAAAACTTAACAGTTACATGCATGCCAGTCCAAATGTGTTCACAGAATTTTGTCTCATTGGCTTTGAACTGGCAGTCTCTATATGTCATGACATATAATTTATCTTTTATTGTACTGCATAAAATCAGCATAAAGTCCAAGTTATGCATGCTTACTAAATGAACAGAAATGTACTCACCTACTGACATTTGCACCAGTTGAAACTTGTACTGACAGGTGATCTGCTAGTGTGCATTGATGATGATGGGACATCAGCCTCACACTTAATTAGAGGTTAATATCCTTATAAGATATGCTTTAAAAACTCAAAGCTCCATTTTATATGGGTTCAAAAGTTATGTCAGTTCATGGGAGGATGAATGAATGCTTATCAGGACTCACTGCAGATCACTGGAATCTGCTACCGCATAGCATTCAAGTGTCTCAGCATGCCAGCCCTATTTTACTCCTCTTCAGGCACGTGCTAATGTTCACAGCTGGCTTCAGACACTAAGCAAGATAAAAATAATTTGATCTATCACCACCAATCCGATGTGGTCTTTAAGTTTTGCTTGTCCCAAAACAACAACAAAAAAATTATTCCAAGAGAATATTCCAGTTTCACTGTTCCAAAACTCGTTTGTATCTCATCTCCCAGTTATATCTCATTGTCCTCCACACCAGAATACATAACAACTTCCTGTGAACACCAGATCATGTTCTTACATGTGTTACCTTAGGGTTCTCTCCATGCAGCAAGCTTAGTGGGAAAAAAGAGATCAAAGAGACTAAAGATGAGTGTAAGGAGTTGTCACCCTGAGAAATAGGCCTTCGATATCTTTTTTTACAAGTTCTAGTCACTTTCCCAGGAAAGTAACTATAAACATAGGTGTTTATACATTCCATTAAAGATACACCTTTTGATGGACGTCACTCATGGCCAGTGCTGTTGGGGAGGGGTTAACCTGGCTATCCAATCCCTGGTCATGGTCGAAAACCTATAAATATTGAAAGAACAAATAAACAATTCTCTTTCTTTCACCACATCTCGAGCTGCATCCATGTGAATCATTTTGTGTCCAACAGTGACAAGGAGATAATTTGCAAAGGTCAGGACAAGAAATGAAGTGAGTAGCAGTGCTAGAAATCCCCTGTTTTCTAGTCCTCCATGCCTTGGAGAGTAATGGGAACACACAGTTATTATGAGATCAAATTCTTCTGGATACTTCTGGATACTTAAATTTTTTATTTTTTTTTAAATCTACATACAGAATTAAGACAATGTCCCCATGAATACAGATAAGCAAAACACATTTGAAAGTGGAATCAAAGACTGCAAGGTTATTGATTAGTAACATACTATCTCCAGATGGTTTTGTTTTGGTTTTGGGCAAAATATCTCATTTTGGGATGGGATCTTTTTGTTGTTGTTGTGGGGTTTTTTTTTAAGAAATCTGTGGTATTTCAAATTTGTCTTTGAAAACCTTTTGTCCTTTTCTCTTTACACAGAAAACACTATGCCACAATAGAATGCCAAATGGTCACACCTACCGAGTATACATGCAGCCATACTGCTGTTGGAATGAACTGCACTTACTAGAATAAAACACATACTTAGAAAATCCTAAAAGTGCCTCTCAGAATAATACCAAATCCCAAATATCTGAAAGATTAGAAATCCAGACCTAAGGCTGTCCTGAGCCACTGTAGTGCTGTCTCTTTATTAACACTGTAATAGGGAAAAATAGCATGTGCCATACACACACATCTGCCTATTACATATGCATGTTATATGCATATGTAATATATATAAATAAAATACATGTAATAAATATAAATAATATAAATCTATCATAAATATATACAATAAATAATAAAAATATAATATATATATATTTCAACATGACACAAAAAGGTAAAAGAGCTTTACACTGTTTCATCTATATTTTCTGAAATTTCAGATATCTCATATACGGTGATGGAAATATTTGTAGTGTAGCGCACCATGCTTTCTTGTTGTTCCTTGGCACAGTGATAATTTGCCAAGTTGCCAAAAGAAGTAAATAAATGAACCACTAATAAGATTCAAGTGTGCATTTATATACATTTATTCTGAGTTTGGGATGCAGGGGGAGAAAAAGAGAGAAAGCTACATTAAAAAAAATCTTTTAGCAAATAGCACCTGCAAAAAAGCCTGCACCGTTCAAATGGCCTATGAAGCCACTGTAATCTAGGGGAGAGAAGAAAATACTGATAAATCAGTGATTTACATTAAGTTTTCCCTGTGACCTTATTCAAAAGTTTTGCTTTCTGCTCTGGTGGGATTAAGAAGAAAGGAATGATAACCAGTTCCAGAGAAATGTATTCATTTCAATATGGTAACCTTGTGTTTCAGTAATCAGCAAAACAGTATCAGAGAATCCTTCACCGCCACTCACCTGATGAATCAATAGCAATTACTATGACATTAATAAAATGCACCTACTTTCATAGTCAAACAAAAAAATGTCCTGATCCTAGTTAATTGTTGTTACTCTCTCTCAAAAATGCCAACTTTATTGCTACATAGAAAAACTGTTTCAAATTAGGAAAGAATTTATCCATTAAGACAGTAAAACTGCAATTATATCCAAAGATCAGGAATGTACTTGCCACGTACATAGTTTTTAAGAATCACAGAAAATAAAGATCTAAATCTAAAGATTTAATAAGATCTAATCTAACAATTTAGTATTTTCCAGCCTTGGTAAGCCTGATTGTCACCAATTGAAGAATGTATTTTAAGTTTTCATACTGAGAGAATTTACTGCATTTTCCTTAACAGGTAGAACAAATGTTCTGATAAGAAACCAGTTGATTTCAGCATGGAACGTACACCAGAAAATAAATTATCAGAAGGGACACATTCCTTAGACCTCACAGAAAACACATTGGGGAACATGCCAATAGTATGATCTGCAGTTTTTGGGTCAGAACTATGGAATCAAATAAAATATAAACTCACTTTTTTTCTGATCCATTTTTTGTGACACAGATGGACGGGTAGGACTTAATACTGGCAGAGTGGTCATCCTCTCTGTGTTGTTAAAAGAAGCATCTGTAGACCACGACGTCACCTCCTCTGCAGTGGCAAACAGCCGGGTGTTGTCTTTGGAGCCCTCGGCCAAAGCAGAGTCAGAGGCAGGCTGATGACTGAGGACTGTGGCTTGAGTTGGGGGACCAAAGGAATTTTCCTGGAAAGATTCTCTAAATATATTCGAGTTCTTGTTCATTTGGTCAATGTGGGATAAAGGTGTGGTGGTCCGAGAAGAGGGCTGTGTGCTGAGATCCACTGTGGGATCAGTCTTGGAACTGTTTTCAACCATATTTGGCAAAAGATCACGAGATGTTTCAAAGTCACCATTAACTGTGAGGCCCTCACTTCCGTTTGAATAAAAGCATGTTTTTTCTAACACTCCTGCAAAAAAGGGGAAAAAAACCAACAAAATTACCATTCCCTGGAAGAACAATTGTTACCAATTTGTTTTGGAAAGTCAATAATAAATATAATGACACAGATTTAAAAAGTATTTTAATTTCAGAATTAAAATTAAAGACAACTAAATTTAAGAATTCTATCTAGCAAAAACAGTGGTACATAAAACAGTTGCTGTAGGAGAAGTAGAGAAAAAAATGCTTCCATAAGCTTAAAATATTTTAATTGTATTTATTGTATGTCACCAAATACTTACATGTTTAAAACTACAGAGTGCAATTTCAAGGAGCTGCAACATGCAATCATTCTATCAATGTGTTAACAAGATGGACAATGCTAATTTTTTTTCCTTTTAAACTGCATCATCTCTTGTTTTC